GTGACTTAAAGACCAGAGCAGAACAGCAAGGAGAAAAATTACTAGCTGAGGAACAACGTGTTTTATACTTTGTTCTCTGCGGTTTTTACAGTGAGTCTGTTAAGAGGTGACATCGCTCACGTACCATAGGTAGCCTGACTTTGGCAGATCCCTTGTTAAAAGAAACAATATGTGCTGTGACCATTTACATTGAACACTATGCAAGTGGATCAATCTCACGGTTACATATCGTGACCGTCGCGGTTCCGCGTGGGCTTCTGCCCTCCGCCACCCGTTTCGTCCCACCACACCTGGGGTGCGAACCTGGGTCTCCGGCGTAATGCAACAGGGCACCAGCCACATGAGCTAAAGGAGACCTCCACAGCCCAGGCGGCTGAGGTCCCTGCTCTGCGCGAGGGAAGGCGATGACGTCACCGTGCCCGAACTCGCTCGGCTACAATATGAAGCTCAAAATACCCCTTGTGTGCGTTTGCTTCCAGTGTTCTTGAGAAACAGCTTCTTTTGTGGTCACAAATAAACTCATCTCCAACCTTCTGCGGACTGCACTATGACTCCCTGCATCCCGACAAATAAAAAAGCAGACATCCTCAGCTCCCATTTCCAGAGGAGAGACCCAGATCTGGACAAGGAAGAAGACAGCTCATTGAGGAAAAAAAAGCAAAGGCTTATTGGAAATTAAGATGCCCCACTTGTGGCCGAATCAAACCCATTTATCTTTACGAAGAGAAACAATAGTCTGTAGACACAGTTATAGCAGGGCTGCTCAACCCCTGGCCCTCCAGTTGACTCCATTGCAGGACTTAGATCCTCAGCAGCTACAGTGTGTCGATCCTGCTAAAACAGGGTTTTTGATGAACGTTTGGGGAGGATGACAGCAACTAAGCACCCATCTATCTGCCTCCTGCCTCCACCTGCGCAGCCGCCTCTCGGTCTTCTCCCCGCCCTGCTGATTTCCTCTCTCCTCAGCCCAGGTGTCGAACCCCCCAGCCGAGCAGAATGAGCCAACGCGTTTTGCGTCCAACCCCCTGACCGCTATTCCGAAACAGATGCTCTTGCTGGATGTCGGGGGAGGGATCTGGACTTTGTGAGCTGCTGGAAGCATCTGCAGTACCACGTAGATGCTCAAAACTGAGATCCCCCCAAACACCTTCAATACAAAGTTATTAGTTGTTAAGTAGCAGGATCACTATAGCATCAGGAAAGCTGGTCGCATTATAGCACTGCAGTGAATGAGATTGGAGGGGTCAAAGGTTGAATGTTCTGGATCTACTCCGTGTGTCTCCATTCTAATTCTGTATGTTATTTCACTACAATTAAAATATATATAACTTTGTGCCATTTTCATTTCATCATGTTGTGGTTCACGCTTTTATTTGCAGAGTTTCTGGTTCGCATTTGTGTTTCTCTGTTCTTTGTTTGCTTCTTTGTTGAAACAAAAATCTGGATTCAATCAAAGCTCCGATCGAGTCACCCTCTGCAGATCTGTTTTGAATCAATGAAAGCAGAAGTGGTCGGAGTAAGTGATCAGTAAATCACGAAGTGATCAGAACCTCAGATCTCCAGGTGTCAGTGTGAACAGAGGAGGAGTTCAGGCTGTGGAGATCAGTAGGTGATCAGTAGATCAATAGGTGTTCAGAACCTCAGATCTCCAGGTGTCAGTGTGAACAGAGGAGGAGTTCAGACAGTGGAGATCAGTAGGAAATCAGTAGATCAGGAGGTGATCAGAACCTCAGACCTCCAGGTGTCAGTGTGAACAGGAGTGTGTAGGAGGTAATCAGTACACTGTAGATCTCCAGGTGTCAGTGCGAAAAGGGGAGTGGAGGAGGTGATCAGTAGACTGTAGATCTCCAGGTGTCAGTGCGAGCAGAGGAGGAGTTCAGACAGTGGAGATCAGTAGGCTGATCAGCAGGTGATCAGTCGATCAGGAGGTGTTCAGAACCTCAGATCTCCAGGTGTCAGTGTGAACAGGAGTGTGGAGGGGGTGATCAGTAGACTGTAGATCTCCAGGTGTCAGTGTGAACAGGAGTGTGGAGGAGGTGATCAGTAGACTGTAGATCTTCAGGTGTCAGTGTGAATAGGAGTGTGTAGGAGGTGATCAGTAGACTGTAGATCTCCAAGTGTCAGTGCGAAAAGGGGAGTGGAGGAGTTGATCAGTAGATCACGAGGTGATCAGAACCTCAGATATCCAAGTGTCAGTGTGGACAGGTTGGTGTAGCAATGGGGATCATTAGACTCTAGATCTACAAGTGAGCTGCAGGTCACCACTAACAGGCTTGCCAGAAGAAATTCAGTGGGTGAGTAAACCAGCCCTCTAGTGCCAAAAGACATTTTGTCTTGTGAATGCAAGGAAATGGTTCACTTTATTTGGATTATAATTCTTTATGTGTTTTTTTTTCCAAAGTAGGTGTGTGTTTGGCATAAGCTTCATGTCACACAAAAAATCCAAATGACACGAACAATTCCTGTAAATTCTGTAAATGTCTGTGCACCAATAGTAATGTGCATACATCATAAAATATGACAGAGAGAATTGCTACCTAGGCTGTTAAAGACTGTTGTAGCTGTTTTAGGAGTCAGGATACCATAAGGTATTTTGTCAAGAAATGGGGACTTAGACATATCCTGTCCTTATGGCAATGTGACTCTTTATTTTCACATTCAATATTATTATATTATTATGCTGCTGTAATTTCAACTAATGGGGATTCTGACAAAAGAAAACAGATACAAATGATCATGCTCTCTTTTTACTCCCATTTATAGATGCTGTTCAGAATGAAATCATATTTCATATTTCATAATATATTCTTAAAGTCTTAGTTAAAGTCATCATAACTGGCCACTTTCAGTAGGCTGAACTGACTGGCTTACTTCAATAATTGAATTTATCGTCGTCTAGACTGATTTGTACAGAGAATCTTTTTTTTTTCTAAGTTTATATGAGTCTGATTTACTTTTGCCCATCGACTTAACATCATATACCCCTCTCCATGTATAGGATGTTCAATAAAGTCAAGCTGAAATAATCCACAGTTCTGAGTTTGCCCGTTTTTCTTTAAGCAGTAATAGCCCTGTGGCAATCAGAAGAGAATTCTGCGACGACCGCACCGTGACGGCGATACACTAACCTCTGCCCCCCACCAAGATGGCGACGTCGTGCGGCGTTTCCGGGTGTTTCGCGCCTATCTGTGTCAGAGAGCGAGATGTCTATGGTTCTCGTCTGCAGGGCGGGTTTTCCCGGCAGCTGCTGGGCGACGTCACTTTGGCGCTTCAGTTTAGAGTCGGAGCGCGCGGAAAGAAAGCGGTCGGGAAGGTGGTAGTACTTTGGATTAATTAAACAAACACACCAAAAGAGAAAAACACGTTATTTTCGATTTGATTTGCTGTTTGGCATTCTGGACCCGGGCCTTGAAGACATCCGGAGCTGACGATGCAGAGGAGTATAGCGTGAGTTTCATCACTGGCGATTTGCTGGGTGTTTGTGCATGCAGAGAGAGACTTTGCAGCAGCCTGGGCTGAGAGGGCATTGGGCATTGATGTGCACGTATCTGTATGTGCCGTCGTGTTCAACGGCTCTGCTGGCGTGCCTTGAAATGGTTTATTTTTTTCCGGTTGTGTTAACGATAGCACGCGTCGTTTTAACCGGGTTGCAAAAGAAATATGTGGTTTAAAAATAAAAAAAACAAGGACTCGTACTCAGCGATTGTGTCCTAGACGCAGGTCTTTTTACAGGTTTGGGGTCTCTTCTACAATCGCCGATTGCATTCGGGATGAGCTGGAGTCTCACGGCCCGGCCTGCTGTAGGTTGTTTATTTGGCTGCTGTACTGTACTGTACTGTAGGGGAGGCTGGAGCCGGAAGTGTGCGTGTCCAGAGCCCCGCTTGGCAACCTGTTGACCGGTCAGTGCGACCTGCGGCTCTGACTTGAGACGAGAAACAATTTGTGCCGCCGCGTTTTATGCTCCGTGCGATTTAAAGTTCAGGACTGACCGCCTTTTTCACTGCTGCAGCGTTGAGCTGCGTCCAGGCGCGTAGCTGCTGCGCGGTGATGCCGGTGTATTATTTATTTGCCAGCAGCCATGTCCCCCTGCAGCTCAGCACTGGCAGCCCCACTGGAGCTCAGCAGTGTGAGCCTGACCAGTACCCTGGAGGGGAGACTCCTGGGAAAGCTGAGGCTGCTGCTGGAAGAGGTGTTAGTGGGGCCAGCAGGGGGCGCTCACCCTGCGGTCTGTGGGGGTCCTGATGCCCCAGTATAGTGATGTGGACACTCTACTGTAAACAGGCGCCGTCCTTCGGATGAGACGTAAAACCGAGGTTATGACTCTGTGGTCATTAAAAATCCCAGGGTGTCTCTCGAAAAGAGTAGGGGTGTCACCCCGGTGTCCTGGCCACATTTCCCCCTGGTCTTTACCCATCATGGCCTCCTAATAACCCCCCTCTCTGAACTGGCTCCATCACTCTGCTCTCCTCCCCACTGAGAGCTGCTGTGTGTGAGCAGACTGGAGCTTCATCCAGGTGGGGGGACACACTGGTGGGGGTGGAGGGGATCCCCATGACCTGTAAAGAGCGATGTTATTTATAAATTGCGGGTTTTGGAAAAGCAAAGGTGTTGGGTAAAGAAATGTTGTTGAATCGTCTTTACCGAATGAAAATCAGATCTCTGGCTTATTAAAACCCATGATTTTAAAGGCGCTTCCGCCTGTAGTTATTCTCCGTGGCCCACACGGTTCGTGTCGACCTTGGTCGCTGTGCGTGTGTGTGAAATGAAGTCCGCGCTCTCTGTCGCAGCTCGTTCTTCCGGCCCGCGGCGGCTGGCGACGGGAAGACCAAGGGGAGCGCGAGGACCGCGGAGAAGACGGAGTGAGTAAAA